GCATCGTGAGCAGAGTGAATGAGCCCTTGGATGCGGCCGCCCGCCTCGCTCTGTTGTCACTTAAGCCCCGCAAGTGTGTCGTCGTCCCGCTATGGGATGCCGCCACACTTGCCACCATCGCCCAAACTCAGGCCCTGCTTTCGGAGTTTTCCCCCGCTTGGTCGGGCTTTTTTGTCTCAGGGCGTGCCAAATACCTTGGGACCTCCCTTGGACCTGCAGACTCGCTGTCTGATGAATGGCGCGCCCCTGGGCAAAAATGGTGGCAGCGGGCGAACTTGCTCAATGTAGTGCAGTCTGGCAGCGATGCCACTGTGAGGCTCTATAACACATCGGTTTTCTCGACGCTCAGCTATGTTGCCCAATTCTATCCTGTGCCACCTCTATCACACAGAGGGGGCACTACATGATTCATAAGATGCTGCGTCTGCCACCGAACACGTTCTGCAAGGTTGACCTTCTAGCGATGGCAGACTGGTCTCCGCCACCTGTCCTGCGCCCAATGCAAGTTATGCCAGTATCGGCCGCCGCGCGTTCTGCCGGCCTCACACATACTCACCACGCGGGAGCCGCACTTTGAGCGGCTCCCAGACACTGCATGGCTAGAAAGCACGGTGCACAATTTCCATCGCTGGATCGCGGGGTCGCGGTCGCCCCCATTCTGGGCCCAGCCGCGGGCGATTGTATAATGCTACGGTCAGCTCCGTTCCGCTTCGCGCATTTCTGTTTTCACGCCGACGATGCTGCGAGCTGCCCAGGCAACCGCGCAGGAAGAGATGCACGCCGCCCGCGCTGCAGACCCACCGCGCCGCGCGCATTTTCAGCGCGCGTTCGCAGCATCGCTGCGCCAGTCTGCATTCGCATCGCCATTCCTGGTCACGCTCGAGAAGCGCCTGGCTTCGCGGGGCCTTCCTTTAGGCACGTACATTTTGGAGGAGCGCTGGAAGGCGCTCGCTAACGTACTCGATCAGAGAAACTATGGATTCAGTTTGTGTCGGGGTTTCGGTTTTCTGCTATGCCTGGCGGCCCGTACTTCGCGGGCCGTGGCCTCTGTCGCAGATATAAGTTGAGTTGCGATGTGATTGTATGTTGTATATATCGTACATATGAGTCGGTCGTATGCTAATATAATATGTGCTATGTGCGTATAAGTGTGGCATTGGTTATACAGGTTTGCTAAACTTATACACGGTTGCAATGCAAGTGTTTATCACCGACTTACAACTCTTATACAAAAAATTAGCAATTTTACGTGTTCAATTAGAGTCCCACTTGTCCGCGGCCACATTTGGCCCAACGTGTGTTCACTGCCCCCGCGCGGAGGCGCCCAAGGTGCGCGCGCGGAGGCCGCCGTTGCCCGACTAACCGTCCGTCTGACCGACGCGCCGCCTGACCTTTTCTTCTGTCCCCAATAAAGCGGCCGTTTCGCTTGAGACATCCTCTAACGGAGTCGGTTTGAGACGCCTGACGTTAAAATTGAAACTCTCGTTCGAGACATCCTCGCAAAGAAATATGATATCAACGGATGTTGCGAAATCGTCGCAACCTTGAAAATTAGGATCCCGCTCGGGACATCCTCAGAAAAGCGGGATGTGGGACGAGCTGGTTCAACACGTCTTCTGTTCAAAACGGTGCTCTCGCTCGAGGCATACCCCCCCGTTCTCGTCCTGCCCGTCCTCACGCCTCGCCTACGTGGCATTGCGGATCATGGGCGCTCAGAGTAGGAAGCGCTCAAAACTCGACTTTGTTGCACAATCTTTATCAATGAGTATGGCGCAAGCAGATCGTGTGCTCGCAGAATTGTTAGGCACAGAGTCGAACTCGAAACTCAAGGGCGCCCTTTCGAACGAACTTGATGTGGACACTCCCAGCGGTAGATTGATTCGGTCTATGGAATTCGTTCTCGACGATGGCACTGTTTATAATTTCTTGTACGTTCATCCTGTTGCATGGTTGCAGGAGCTGTGTCGGCGGTGGCCGAAGTTTGCCGATTTGTTGTTCTCGAGCATAGGTGGTTCTGAGATTCGCGTTGGGCTCTACACGGATGGACTTACGACGGGGAACCCCTTGATGCCAGATCCATCTCGAGAGCTGCAGTGCATATATTTAGGAAACCTGCGGCGATGCCGACCCCCATAGGATCCCGCTCGAGACGTCCTCAGAAAAGCGGGGTGTCGGACGAACTGGTTCAACGCGTCTTCTGTTCAAAACGGTGCTCTCGCTCAGAGCTTGCCTCCTCTTCATCCTCCTCCTCGTCCTCCTGCTCCTGCTCCTCCTCCTCCTCCTTCGCCTCCTCCTGCTCCTCCCACGCGTGATGTTGTGTGCTGCGTGGCATGGCGCGCTGTGTCGGTGGATTGGACTGTGGCACAACTTCCGTCGTGGTTCAAAAGTCGTTCGTGTGGCTTGTTCACAGTTGGGTACATCCCTTGTTCAGTGGAAGGCAAGATAAAAGGAGGTTTGTCCGAAATTGTTGGCAGAGTGTTGCATATGTTTTTCAGCATGGGCGCCTCGTCGTTTAAAAGTGGTTTCCGATGTGTGGATAGTAGCAGATCGTTGCGTATTCTGACTGGTGCGTTGGGGTATATCATCCAAGACGAGAAAGCTTTCAAGTTTACATTTGCTGCGAAGGGGGCGGGGGGCTACAAGCCCTGCTATTTCTGCAGGAACGTCGTCAAGTGCCACGTGTCTAAGTTAGCAGGGAACATGCATGCGAAGCACTTGCACGATGCTCTTCCAGAGGAGTTCGATCTGCACACCACCGCAAGTTTTTACGACCTTGCAGACCACGTCGAACGCCAGAGCCATGTATTTCTTGCCCCTGGTGCTTTCCAGCACGAGGAGACGGCAGCGGGCCTCACGCATGATCCGCATGCGTTGATATGGGACAGGACTTTGCGCGACATTGTTTCCCCGATCGATCGCACGTTTTGGGATTTTATGCATGTGTTGTTTGCGTCGAGCGGAATGGCCCAATATGAAGTGAATTATTTCTGCGCGAATCTCACCGAGGCCACCGCGTTCACATTGGATCTCCTGGACAGATTCAGCGGCAGCTTCTCGCCGCCGAAGCCCCTCAGAGGTTTACCGCGCAAGTTCTTTCAGGATCGGACGCGGGCCAGAGGCTCTCATATAAAAGCTTATGCGGGGGAGACTGTAACAGCTGTGGCGGTGTTGGCGTGGTTTGCGAAGATGGTCGTCGTTCCGCAGGGTTTACTCGTTGAGGAGTGCCGCAGCATGCTGTTGTTGGGCAAGATAACAGACATGCTTGTATGGAAGGAGTACTGCGTTGAGAATGTTGGCATTCTGTCCCAATTAACGCGCCAACATTTTATTGTGTACAGGGCCGTGTGCGGCCGCCTCGCGTGCAAGCAGAAAGCCCATTACATGTTTCACGTTCCAACTTGCATTGCTGCGCACTCGGAAGTTGCATCGTGCTTTAGCATGGAGAGAAAACATAAAGACGCCAAGGCTGCGTCTCGCCACTCGGCAGGGGACGGGTGGGAATGCACTGTGTTGAGGCGGCAGACGCTCCATGCGCTGGCGCGCGTGGAACGTTGCCTCGTGCCCGAGTTTCTCGGCGCCAGCAAGCCATCGCCACAGCTGGGCAAGTTTATCGAACACGTTTTTTTCCCAACCAAGGTTGGCCAAGTTCGCGCCTCCAAGCGCATCACCACGGCCAGAGGGGTGATTAAGAGCGGCTCGTTTGTTTTGTTGTCTGCCGATCGGGCCCGATACCACGTGGGGGTAGCGTTGTTTTTCTGCGGCGGCAACCCACTTGCTACGCCAGATTGGAAACACCTTATTTTTTGCCGCATGTGGAAGCGGCGCGCCGCCAACGAATGGTTGGCGACGACAACTGTTATGTACTGTTCAACGGCCATGTTTGTCATGTCGTTGCCGTCCTTTGCGAGTGCCTCTGGCAGCGTGCAGCCTGTCGTGCCAGACCTCCCAGGCGTTGACGTGCTATAATTTCGCGCGCATGAGGAAATCACCATCATCATCATCGATATCGTCATCGTCCATCGCACTTCCTCCTCCCAACCTTGGGCCCCTCCCTCGGCATCCACCTCGTGCCCCGCCGACTCCTCAACACCCCCCTCTGCCTCCTTCACAGCCCCCTCCCCTTCCGCAGCCGTGCGTTCCTCGCCCGCTTTGTTTCAGTCGAACAGAAGTACACCCAGTGGTATCCAGCTACAAAAAAAACATTCGGAATAGCTGTCGCTCAATCTGGAGCGGTGAGCCTGCAAGGTCGGACCTATGATGATAATTACGAGGAGGAGGGGGAGGAGGAGAAGGAAGACGAGGAAGAGGAGGTGAGGAGGAGGAGGAGGAGGAGGAGGAGGAGGATGGGGAGGAGGAGGAGGAGGAGGAGAAGGAGAATGAGGAGGAGGAGGAGGAGGAGTAAGAGAAGGAGAGGAACAGAGGGGGGTGGCAAGGCAACCTCAGGATCAGCTTGGGGACCCACCCACCCACCCACCCGCCCACCCACAACCCACCCACCACCCACCACCAACAACCCACCCACCACCCACCCACAACCCACCCACCACCCACCCAGTACCAACCCACCACCCACCACCCACCACCCACCGCCCCCATACACCCAACTGCTGCAACGGGCTCGCCCTTGCAGCAGAGGGTCCGCGCTCCGTGTCCACGTCCAGCTGTCGACAGTTTGGCTCAAGCCATTTTGGCTTGCGATGAGGCCCTGCCTGCAGAGTCGCCCCTGCCATGTCGCAGTGGCGATCGCCAGAGCTGCCTCCTGCGAGCGACGCGCCTGCGCAGTTTTACATATGCGTCCCATTGCCAGCAGGAACGCTTACGAGGGCGGACACTGACGCCATCGAAGCTGAGACTGGGTGCCGAGCTAGAGTGCGTGATCGGCACGACGGCAGGGGGCGAATGTTCACCCTGCGTGGCCCACCGCAGAACCGAGAGCGTGCATACCTCCTCTGCCAAGAGGCAATTGCAGCCAACGGTTTGCATGGCGGGCGAGTCCCGAGGCACGTGCAGGCAGCGCGGCAGCAGCAGCACCGAGAGGAGATGCGGCAACGTCGGTACTCAGAGTATTGGCGAGCCCACGAGCAGGCGCAGGCTGCGTACGAGATGGCGAACGCGTGGGCGTGGCAGCAGCAGTGGTGGGAGGCTGCCACGGCCGTGCAAGAAGGAGGAGGAGGCGGAGGAGGATGAGGGGGAGGAGGGGGATGGTATCAGCGGGGGAGGAGGGGGGTCCACAATCCACCCCCCCTCCCAAGCCCTATCCTCCACATGAGGGGTTCATTGTTATATTCGGATGCTCCCAGGGGCCGCAGGAGGCTGGGCGGAGGAGAAGGGAGTGGCGGGTGATGTGTTGTGCCCTCTCGTCAGCAGGCAAACGTGCACCACACGAACTGGGGCGCTGACGAGTGGGAGGAGTGGGCGGCGGGTGCCGACGAGCAGCCAGGCACGGCGGAGCACAGCGAGGCAGATCTGGACGTTCAGGGGCAGGGTGAACAGACAGCCGAACTCGCCGAGCAGACCGCCGCGCAGGACGAGCCGCTGCGCAACCCCCCGAGCGAGCCCGCTGAGCAGGCGGCCGAGCAGGGCATCGCAGACCAGCACGCCGCCGCCGAGGGCATCGCAGACCAGCACGCCGCCGCCGAGGGCATCGCAGACCAGCACGCCGCAGCACGCAGCTCGCCCCCCGCTGAGGTGCTGCTCCCGCCCGCCTCCGAGGTGACCTCCGCAGTTCTGTCTCCAGCCAGCTTGGAGGATTCCATCTCGGAACGGTCAGTGCCAACCGAGCCTCCATCGCCAACGGAAGTTTCAGTGTGCGGATCGTGGACTACGCCAGCTGAGCAGCCGGACCAATTAGTCAATTAGCATCCGCGCGCGCCGAAGCCCGCTAGCTGACAATGACAGTTGAGGGCGCACGCCCTGCCTTCGCAATACGCATGTGTCTCTAAACGTATTAATGTTCGTCGGGGTGGGTGGGGTGTTGGGGGGCTCCAAAAGGGCCCCAAGATGACCCGACTTTCTACAGCCATACTGCCACCCGCTGGTTGTAGAAACTGCTGCCAGCTTGGAGCTCTCTCGGGGCCCTCTCGGTGCTTCCTGGGGCGCTCTGAGGGGCCTCAAGAGGGCTCCGAGGGGGGGTAAGAGCGTTCCACGAGGCTCCAAGAGGCACCCAAGAAGCCACACGAGGGCACTAAGAGGGGCCCAGGAATTATGTGCCAGCGGGCCCTCGGTTGGTACAGAATTCCTGGGTGCCTATTGGGGCCTTCTTAGAGCCCTTTGGGGGCTTTCTTGGAATGGTGCCCTGAGGGGCTGCCTTGAAGCTCCATTGGGGCCATCTCGGAGCCATCTTGTGGCCATCTCGGATGCGGGTGCGAGCGCGTCTTCCCCCTTTTGGGCGTGGAGGGGGGCTGGTGGTCTTTGGACTGGGCGCCTGCCCCGTTGTTGAACAGGAGCCCCCTCCATCGGCGAGATCAACAGCCCCATCCGTGCAGCTGTTGTGGGCGCGCGGGGCAACCCGTATCTTTGCGACAGGCTCGCCGTCGCTCGAATCCCATCCTCCGTTGTGCATTCGCCAACCCACGCCACAAGCTCGCAGTCGCTCGATCCCCCTCCTCTGTTGCATTCGCCAACTTACGCGACAGGCTCGCCGTCGCTAGGAGGAGGAGGAGGAGGAGGAGGAGGAGGAGGAGGAGGAGGAGGAGGAGGAGGAAGGATGGAGGGGGGAGGGGGGGGGAGGAGGATAGGAGGAGGGCTGAGGATGAGGATGATGAGGGGATGAGGAGGAGAGGAATGGGGAGGGTGGGGGTCGCAGAGGAGGAGGGGGGGGGGGAGGGGGTAGGGGGGTGGGGAGAGGGACGCTGATTTCTGATGATGAGGATGAGGGGGAGGAGGAGGAGGAGGAGGAGGAGGGGAGGGGAGAGGAGAAGGAGGAGGAGGAGGAGGAGGAGGAGGAGGGGGGGGGGGGGGGGGGGGGGGGGGGGGGGGGGGAAGGGGGAGGAGGGGGGGGGGGGGGGGCGAGGGAGAATGATGAGGGGAGTGAGGAGGAGGAGGGGGAGCATGATGAGGGAGGATGAGGAGGATGAGGATGCGGACATGATGAGGATGAAGTAGTAGTAGTAGTAGTAGTAGTAGTAGTAGTAGTAGTAGTAGTAGTAGTAGTCGTAGTCGTAGTCGTAGTCGTAGTCGTAGTCGTAGTCGTAGTAGTAGTAGTAGTAGTAGTAGTAGTAGTAGTAGTAGTAGCAGTAGTAGTAGTAGTGGCAGCCGTAGTAGCAGCAGTCGTGATAGGAGGAGAAGGATGAGGACTTGGAAAGCACAGCCCCCGAGAGGCACCCACGCAAAGGTTCGCAACACTTTCCAGCGGATGGGGGAAGCCGAAGCCCGAACACGCAGCGTTTTGGCTCGACCGACGGCTCGCCGCGGAGAGATCAACGCCACTTTTGTATTTTGCCTGCCCGACCGAGCCCTGCAATGTCAGCCACGCTGGTCGAATCGGCCTTGGCCGCCCCCGCCCCCGCCTCGCCAGCGGCCTCCGAGGCCCCCGCGCTGTCAGCAGATGTCGGCGACGCAGCCGAGAGTGCGGGGGCAGCTAGTGTGCCAGATGGCGCTGCGGCAGCTTGCTCGGATGGCAAGGAGATGACCGTGCTGTGTTCTTGTTGCAGGCAGCACAAGCCAGCCTCAGAAGTTTACACGCAAGCTGCCAATGAGCTCACGGGATCCAAATGCACCGCGAGGTGCAGGAAGTGCAACTCTCTGAAGGAGCGGATCCGCCGCGTCGTGAAGGGGGGGCACGTTGCCGATCAAGCGCTCGCTGACCTGGATCCCGACAGCAGGGCCGACCTCTTCGCGCGCGGCGCGGACTTGTTTTCGGATGACCTGAAGAAGCTTCTCACGGAGAAGGTCACCAACACCACCGTGTCAAAGGCGGCGCACCGCATGAAGGCAGTGGGTGGGTTCGTGCGCACGGCTGAGCTGAAGGCGAAGATCTTGGCGCAGCCTGGCGGGGAGGCTCGGTGGGCAATGTACGAGCTGAATGGCACCACGATTCGGCACGACGTCACGGGCGAGGAGCTCATGTGGAACCCCGAGTACTCGATGGAGCTCAGCAAGTCAGAGGAATCCGAGCTCGAGAAGGTCCGAACCCTTGAGCAGTCGAAGGCAGCCAAGCCCCCCCCCCCCCCCAAGAAGCGCAAGACGGAGAATGCCGCCAAGGCTTCCGCCGCTACCCCAACGGATCAAGAGGCTGATGCAGACAACAAAGTGAAGGTGGAGTCTGCACCTAAGTCGTTGTCCGCTGGGCTCATCAAGCGCATCGCCGCAGCCATCCCCAAGCTCGAGGCTGACGTCCTGCAGCTCAGCGCAGTCTTGCTGCAGGTCACGGCGCGTGAGAACGTGGATAACTTCGCGCCGAAGAAGGTGAAGGATGCCACCAAGGTGAAGAATGATCTCGCGGCGTCAATCGTGACGCTGCAGGGGCTCGTGGACACGAAGACTGGCAACTGCAAAGATATCAACGTGTTCCTGAAAAGCGTGAACGGCATGAAGGCCAGCGCCAAGGCAGCGAGCGCCGAGTTCAAGAAGAGCATCGACGCCATGCAAGCCGAGGCCGAGGCCGAGGTCGTGGAGGAGTGAGCAGTGCGCAGTTCCATCGGACGCTATGGCAGCACGGTCTGAGCTGGGGAACAGCTGCGCCGCGACTGGGGTTGTCGCCAGCGCAGGGTGATCTTCAGAAGATGCATTAATCGGCGCTCGATCTCAGACGTAACATTGTTCATGCCAACTCGGCTTCGAGCTAGCGCCGAGTGGCATGCGTGCATCTGCGCGCCAGGAAAAAAAAGCAAGCGCCCTGCTGGCATGAGGTGGGCACGGGGTAGGCAGGGGGTAGGCATGGGGTAGGCAGGGGGTAGGCACTGGGTAGGCACGGGGTAGGCACGGGGTAGGCATGGGGTAGGCATGGGGTAGGCATGGGGTAGGCACGGGGTAGGCACGGGGTAGCAAAGGTAGCATGGGTAGGCATAGGGTTTAGGGATGGTAAATCATTTAAAAATAATAACTCGGGTTTAGATAATACTTGTAGTACTATTTATAACAGTTACTTGGGTTAAGAAAAACAGTAATTACTTTAAAAATATTTAGGCAACAGGGTAAGCACTGGGTAATGCATGATTGTGTAGGCAAGGGGTATTGGCACGGGGTAGTCACTGGGAAGGCACCACTGGGGGGGGTGGGTGTGTAGGCACGTGGTATGCAAGGGGTAGGCACGGGTAGGCACTGTGAAGAGACAAATGGTAGGCATGGGAGGCATGTGGTAGGCACTGGGCAGCACGGGGTAGGCACGGGGTAGGCACGGGGTAGGCATGGGGTAGGCACGGGGTAGGCACGGGGTAGGCATGGGGTAGGCATGGGGTAGGCATGGGGTAGGCATGAGGTTGGCACGGGGTAGGCACGGGGTAGGCACTGGGTAAGCTTGGGGTAGGCATGGTGCAGGCATCCCCGCGCGGCCCTGGTACCGGATGGCCGGCCCGAGGGTGGATTTGAGAAATGATGGCTCGAACGAGGCGGGCGAGAAAGAGGAGCAGGAGAAGGATGAAGAAGAAGAGGATAAGGAGGGAGGAGTGCCCCGCCGCGTCCGCCCCCGTGCACCCGCCTGCCACCGCCCGCGGGCCTGAGGGCTGGCGCGCGCCTCTCTGCCTCTCTGCCCCCCCGCGGGCCTCCCTTACCGTCCGTGGCGGACGGTGAGGGGTAGGAGGATGAGGAGGAGGAGGAGGAGGAAAAGGAGGAGGAGGAGGAGGGGGTTGGGGAGGAGGCGGAGGAGGAGGAGAGGGTGGACGACGAGGAGGAGAAGGAGGAGGAGGAGGATAATTAGAACCAGGAACTTCACACAGTGACCCATTCAAAAAACTAAGCGATCGCTGCAGGGGCGAGCCCGCTGCTTCAGGACATGTCCTGTGCCTTTTTCTTTAGGGCCCGAACTCGACGTGCATCCGCTGCCCACCGACGTGTACCACCTCATGCATTCACGCCCTTCCCGAAAACATCGTGAACCTCTCATGCGTCCTCCCTCTTTGCCCCTCTCGACCGCATCTCGCACTGCATGCAGCAATGACAAGGGCGTGCGTACTTTGGCTAAACGGATCCCCCCCCGAAAGCATGCGCTCATCAAACCACGCCGAAACTTTGCTCCCCCTGCTTGTCGTCCTCCTCCTTCTCCTCCTCCTCCTCCTCCTCCTCCTCCTCCATCTCGCCCCGTGGTGGCTACGTGGCCATCACACCCTCGATGGCAAACCGCCTTAATGCTGGGCCATCGTGCCCTGCGCCTTGAGGGAGGGTGAGTTGTTTCTTCTTCCTTTTCCATTGTCAAGAGTTGGTCGCCGAGGCCATGCCCAGTCGTGCCAGCGCTTGAGCTCCGTCCATGCCAAGGATTTTCACCTGTCGGTTGGTGAGTGGTGGTGCATCTTGGGACGGGCCAGCCGCCTGCGCGGCGAGCATGGTGCGCCACCTCAGCCCCCCAGCCAGCTCCGAGGAGGAGGAGTGATGATGACGATGACGATGATGATGAGGAGGAGGAGGAGGAGGTGCGACGTGGATCGCAACGCCCCCGTCAGCATCGCCACGGCAGCGTTTCCTGTTCACGCAGGCTCGCCCCTCAGGTTTTTTTGTTGGGTGGGCACGTTCTGCTCCTGGCTGGCAGCGAAGGTTGAGTTTCTCAGGGCTGTCAACCAGCGGCGAGCATGGTTGGCCACCTCAGCCTTCCAGCCAGCTCCGAGGAGGAGGAGGAGTGATGATGATGATGATGATGAGAAGTAGGAGGTGCGACGTGGATCGCAACGCCCCCGTCAGCATCGCCACGACAGCGTTTCCTGTTCAAGCGGGCTCGCCCATCAGGTTTTTTTTTGGGTGGGCACGTTCTGCTCCTGGCTGGCAGCGAAGGCTGAGTTTCTCAGGGCTGTCAACCAGCGGCGAGCATGGTTGGCCACCTCAGCCTTCCAGCCAGCTCCGAGGAGGAGGAGGAGTGATGATGATGATGATGATGAGAAGTAGGATGTGCGACGTGGATCGCAACGCCCCCGTCAGCATCGCCACGACAGCGTTTCCTGTTCAAGCGGGCTCGCCCCTCAGGTTTTTTTTTTTTTTTTTTTTTTTTTGCAGCGTTCTGCTCCTGGCTGGCAGCGATGGCTGAGTTTCTCAGGGCTGTCAGCCAGACGGTCGACTTCATCCAGACTGCCGCGCAGGCTGGGTCTCTCGTCGGTGACGCCTTGCAGGTCAGGCTCGCGAACGAGAAAGACAACCTCATCAACGCGTTGAGGCAGGCGGGCGCCTTGACGCTTGCCGAAGCGACCCAGGCCCGCCAGGGGCGAGGGTGGGCGGGGGAGGAGGAGGAGGAGGATAAGGAGGAGGCGGAGGAGGAAGAGGAGGAGGAGGAGGAGCAGGGGGAAAGAGGAGGAGGAGGAGGAGAAGGAGGAGGAGAAGGTGAACGTGTGATGATGTTGAGGAGGAAGGAGGCGCGCGGCCGAGAGCAGGCCATCAACGCCATCCAGCAGGCCCCGTGGAACCACGCCTCTCGCCAGGAGCTCTCCGCATCTATCATTGCCGCTGCGACCAGCCCACATGCAGCGACAGCAACTGCGACTCGCGGCAGCAACACGGGCGCCGAGGCCATGAACATTCATCGGTTCTTGACGCCCTCGCTCTGGGATGTCTTGACTGGCTTCGCGCCTAAGTCATACCACGAGAAGCTCCAGTCGCTCGGCATCCACTTGGAACGCTTGGGACTGACGAACCTCAAGGAGACCACGAGCGTTCGCGTCGCGGCGCTGATTCTGCTGGCTGGCAACCCACAGAGCTCCACGTTCAGCATCAACGTCAGCGACGCCTACACGGTGCTGAACGACGTCAAGGTTCGAAAGGGGCCTCGCTATGCGAACGGTGGCACGTTCTTATTTATATTCCTCCGCACTCCTCCTCCTCCTCCTCCTTATCCTCCGCCTCCTCCTCCTCCTCCTCCCCATCCAACGCAGCATCCCCATCCTCATCGCTCCCATTCCTCATCATCTTCCTTATCCTCCCCCTCCTCCTCCTCCTCATCCATCCTCCTCCACCTCCCGCCCTCGCCCCCTCATCCCCACCTCGTCTCTCGTCCACCCTCGCGCCCCCCTCCCTGCGCTGGCGGGGGCAATGGGGAGGGGGGGAACACGGCGTCTCAGGAAACTGAGGTCGCTTAGCAACCACCTTTGGATGCCCCCAGCTCGCACCCCCAATATTCGCCCTCTCATCTTCCCCCCGCGAGCGCCCGTTCGCAAAGTGCAGCCCTGCTCGCATAAGGCAGTGCTGAAGGAGATCAGGCAGCGCGGGAGGCAACCGCATCCTACTCAACCGCCCCCTCCGCGTCCTCACTCGTGACCCTCCTCGCCGATAGCCCCTCACCCGCATCATCTCGTCAGAGAGAGTTGGCCTCTCGAGCGAGCTCCACCAGAGAGTTCGCAAGCGAGTCTCGGGGTCCGCATGGGCACCGAAATTCGTGACATTTTCGTTGCGTCCTGAATTGTGGATGCAGGTGGTGGCACCGAGATTCGTGACACTTTCGGGAACCCACTGTGTTGGCTGAAGCCTGGTCCGCCTCCTCGGCGCGTGTCTTATCTTATCATCGTCCCCCTCGTCCTCACGATCCTCAGCCACATCCTCCCCCTCCTCCTCCTCCTCCTCCTTCTCCTCCTCCTCCTCCTCCTCCTCCTCCCCCTTCCTGCACCTCCTCTCATCCGACGCTTCCTACCTGCCCTCCCCCTCCCCCATCGTCCTCCTCCCTGCGCGTCGCGGGCACCCCCGTGGTTAAGGCCTGCCCATGGGTTAAGGCCTGCCCTTGGGTTAGCGTTGCAAGGAAAACGTTGGTGGGGACGCTCTGAATACCTCACATCGCCCACCTCCCCCCCCTCCTGCTCTCCACCCCCACCCCATCATCAACCCCAGCCGCACCAACCTAAAAAAACACCCACGACACACACACACGCACACACAATAACTCTCTCCCACACACATACACACACACATACATACATACATACATACATACATACATACATACATGCATACATACATGCATGCATACATGCATACATATATACATACATACATACATACATACATACATACATACATACACACATACATACATACATACATACAGACAGACATACATACATACATACATACATACATACATGCATACATGCATGCATGCATGCATGCATGCATGCATACATACATACATACATACACACACCACACACACACCCTCCTCCCCCGTCCACCCTCCCCCCCATCCCCGCGCCGATGGGGCCATGCATGCTGATCCTGCTCCATCTGCTGCTCGGCATTATCATCGTCCCCCTCTCCACCCTTCCCGTCCTCCTCCGTTAGATTCCTCCTCCTCCTCCTCCGCCTCATCTCCCCCCTCCTGCAGCTGGTGTTCCTCTTCCTCCCCCCCCTCCTCCTCCCCTTCCTCCTCCTCCGTTTCTTCTTCCTCCTCCTCTTCCTCCCCCATCCCCTTCGCCGCGCAGGTTGGAAGGCAATGGTGTTTAGATCAACGGCCCCTTCCCCCCCGCGCGTGCTCAGATTTCCAGGCGGGGGTTAGTCAGGACGTTTGGGCGCGTCATGCAATGTGCACCCCTGCAGGCTCCCGCACCACGGGGTCATCGCGAAGCTGCCCCCGTCGCCGCAGGCCCTCTTGGCATCCAACCCAGACATTTACAGGCACGCCTTCGCCGCTGAGGAGCCAGCCCCTTGCCCGCTGGACGAGGCCACGTTGATCCAAACAGCTGCCGCTTGACCCGCCTGGCCCTCTACCCCAGACCCCCCTCCCCCCTGCCCCTCACACAATGGCGGGGCACGGCGGGGGGGGGAGGGGTCGAGGAGGATGCGCGGTGGGGAAGGGGAGGGGAGGAGGAGGAGGAGGAGGAGGAGGAGGAGGAAGAGGAGGAGAAGTAGGAGGAGAAGTAGGAGGAGGAGGAGGAGGAAAAGGAGGACGAGGAGGAGGATGTGGAGCATCGGGGGGATGGGCGAATACAAGGGTAGCATCAAGTTCGGCATTGCGCCAGTGGCGCCACCGCGGTGGCATGCGGTTTGCGTTGGCGGCGCGCCTTCCTGCTCGGAAGACTCACACGTCGCTGCAGGTCCAGCATAATCCAGTTCGCAGGGCAGGCTCTGGCAACTCGCTGTGTGCAGGTGGCCAAGTCGACCTCCCAGGGTTCGTGATGCTGAGGCCGCCAATGAGGTCCCAGCCGCTCGCGTTGCTGGACGACGCCGCGCGCAGCTCGGTGGTGCCGCAGCCCGCGGGTGCGCCCTCGGCGCCGCCGCTCGCCGTGCCGCCGCCCGCGGATGCGCCCTCGGCGGCGCTGCTCGCCTTGCCTCCGCCAGCGGCGGTGCCACGGGCAGCCAGCCCAACGCCGCTGCCAGCGCTGATGCAGCCCGCGATCCCTGTGGCGGCTGTGCAGCGGCAACAGATCGTGAGCACCGACGACGGCTTCCGCCTCGACTCGGGCTCGAGCCTCGCGGTGTGGCAGCTGTCCAGTCAGGCGTCGTCGGCGGCGGCGGGTGCTGGCGCGAGCGACGCCAGCATGGGCGCTTGGCGCATGGACTCCGTCGGGGAGGTGGCTGAGGGCGACGCTGCGCCTGAGGTCGGCACCAAGGCGGCGGCGACGGCGCCTTCGACTACGGACATGCTCAGCCACATGCGCTCCGTGCTCGCCCAGAAGCCAGAGTACACGCCCGATGAGATTGCGGCGAGGCGGAACGCAAGGGGAAGAAGCGCACGGCCAAGGCCAAGGCTAAGGCCAAGGCCAAGGCCAAGACGATCGACAAGACGACAGCGACGCCCAAGAAGAACAAGACCGACGGCGAGGCAGCGTCGCCTGTCCTCAAGCGGCCAGCCGCCTCGACGCGCACGCCGTTCAAGAAGGTCAGGCTGACGGGCAAGACTCAGTCGGAGCTGACCCCGACGCCCGTCACCAAGGAGAAGAAGGCTGCGTGGGAGGTTGCTCTAGGTGGCTTCCCTGGCAAGCCGACGTCCAAGGTGCCGACGATCAACGTCCCGAGCCTTGGCATCAAGGTCTACACGGACTTGGCGAAGATGGCCTGGCGCGTGCAGCGCCCGTCGGTGAGCCTGACCGACAAGGCCTTCAGCTTCCGCGTGGACGCCGTGGCGTCGTGGCTGCGCCTGCGGCAGCACCTGCAGGCCGTCGCCCAGGGCTGCGAGGAGGCGTGAGAACGCCAGTGCCGACGAGGAGGAGGATACGGAGGAGGATAAGGAGGAGGAGGGGGAGGAGGAGGAGGAGGAGGAGGAGGAGGAGGAGGATGTGGACGTGGATGAGGATGGTGATTATGATGAGGAGGAGGATGAGGAAAACGATGGTACTGAGGAGGGGGAGGTGGAGAGCCAAGTGAGGATGAGGGAACAGGCGTATCAGGAGAAGGGTGAGGGAGGATCAGACGGAAGAGGGATACATGATACTGGCGAGGAAGATCACGAAGAAGGACGATGGGGATGATGAGGGTGAGGATGACGATGAGGACAAGGAGGATGCGGATGAGGAGAAGATGTTAAGGAAGATGGGGAGGATGATGCTGCGGAGGAGGAGGAAGGATCACGATCAGGACGAGAGGGGATGGGCAAGGGGACGGGGGGGAGGAGGAGGAGGAGGAGGAGGAGGAGGAAGAGGATGAGGGGTAGGAGGAAGATGACGAGGAGGAGGAGGACGAACATGAGGATGTGTACACGCAGAAGGGCGCCCGCGGGTGTGCAGACCGCCCTGACCCAATCGGGGACCTTGGGCTTGGCGGTGGCAAATGAATGTCATTTCTCTCTCTCTCTCTCTCTCTCGTTCTCTCTCTCCCTCCCTCTCGCACCCCTCACAATCAGCGCTTGCCGACGGCTCGCCGACTGCTCCCCAAATCAGTGCTTGCCGACGGCTCGCCGCGGCAGGCGGGGGGCCTCCTCCTCGTCCTCCAGCCGCAAGAGGCTCCCGATATACTCCCAGGAGCCCCTCCCCCTCCGTCGTCGTCGTCGTCGCCGCCGCCGTCGTCGCCGTTCCCCTCCAGGGTCGGCGGCACCGCTCGGACTGTCAGGGGCCCAACTCCAACCGTTTTGAGCACTACAGGGTGGGCTCGCGGAGAGTAACGAAAACAATGAAATTCAGTGTGTTGTTTTCATAGTGTTTGCTTGGCCTGCCCAGGAGATGGAAGCCGAGTGGGCCCGAAAGTGACGCGACCATTTCTATCAGAAAATGGTCGCATTACTTTCGGGCCCGAGGGGCTTCGAACTGCTCCTATTCCTCCTCCTCCTCCTCCTCCTCCTCCTCCTCCCCCTCCTCCCTCCTCCCCCTATCACTCCTTCCTCCTCCCCCCTCATCCCTCCTCCGTCCCGCCCTTCGCTTTCCCTCTTCCCCTCATACACCTACTCTTCCTCGTACTTCACCTACTTCGTATTATTATCCTCTTCCTCTTCCTCCTCCTCCTCCTCCTCCTCCTCCTCTACCTCCTCCTCCTCATCATCCTTTTCCTCCCTCTTCATTCTCCTCCTCTTCCTCCTCCCTTCCTCCTCCACTTCTCCTCCTCCTCCTCCTCCTCCTCCCAGCCCCTCTCCTCTTTTCCTCCTCCTCCTTCTCCTCCTCCTCCTCCTCCTCCTCCTCCTCCTGCCTCCTCCTCCTCTTCCTCTTTCTCCTTCTCCTTCTCCTCCTCCTCCTCCTCCTCCTCCTCCTCCTGCCTCCTCCTCCTCTTCCTCTTCCTCCTTCTCCTCCTCCTCCTCCTCCTCCTCCTCCTTCTCCCCCCCCCTCCTCCCCCCAGTCCTCCCTCCTGCCTCCTCCCTCCTCCCTCCTCCTCCACCTCCTCCCCCTCTTCCTCCTCCTAGTTTGCCTCCTCCCCCCTCCTGGCGCGGATCGACTTACAGAAGTTATCTTGATAGTTAGGTCGACTTACACAAGTGGTTATAATTATTATGGTAACAATTGTACATGGTTAACACACAACCCATTCTAAGCCAACTCATAAGTGATCTAGAACGCACCGCCCGCGAAGCGAAAACGCCCGAAAACCTCGAACTTCGAACGTCGCGGGCCAGCCCTAGAACCTCCAACCTCGAACCATCGTACCTCGCGAGCCAGCCCTAGAACCATCGTACCTCGCGAGCTAGCCCTAGATCCTCAACCTGGAACCTCGAACCTTGCGACCCAGCCCTGGAACCTGGAACCTCGCAAGCCAGCCCTAAAACCTCGCGAGCTAGCCCTGCAACCTCAAGCCTCGAACGCTTTCCCCGACGCACCTCTGCGAGCTCGGGGTCTCGGGCGCGCCCACGGGCGCTCGCGTCCTCATGCCTTGCCGACCAGCCGGAAGCCGTGCACCGCGACCGGCTCGCCGCCCTCCTCGGTGGCGCCACCGTAGAGACGCCGTCGCAATCGCCGTCAACGTCGGTCATCGCCGCCGTCGCCGCCGCCGCCGCAGCCGCCGTCGTCGTCGTCGTCGTCGTCGCCGCCGTCGCTGTCGTCGTCGTCGTAGTCGTAGTGGTCGTCGTCGTCGTAGTAATAATAATAATAAAAATAATAATAATAATCGCCGTCGCCGTCGAGATCGTCGTGGGCGTCGTCGTCATCGTCGCCGCAGCCGCTGGCGCGGCCGCCGTCGCCGCCGCCGCCGTCATCGTCGTCGTCAACGGCCTCGACGTCTTGGAGGACTCACGTCTCTTTTTCTGGCTTTTTGGAATTACCTCGGCCATCGATGGGCGCAGCTCAGAAAAGCGGCCAGGCTGAACCCTGGGAGAAGACCAAGGCATGATTTTAAGCAGATGTTGGTCGGGAGCAGTTGTCGTCGTAGTCGTCGTCGCCATACGCAGTGCACGGTACGCCGTAGGTCGTACGTCGTCCGTCGTATCTCGTACATCGCTCGACGTCGTCGTCGTCGTCGTAGTTGTCGTTGTCGCCGTCGTCGTCGTCGTCCGCCGTCGTCGTCGTCGTCGTCGTGCTCGTCGTCGTCGTCGTCCGTCGTCGTCGTCGTTGTCGTCGTCGTCGTCGTCGTCCTCGTCGTCGTCGTTGTCGTTGTCGTCGTCGTCCGTCGTTGTCGTCGTCGACGTCGGCGTAATCCGACACCGCTGTCGTCAACAGTGTCGTTGAGCGCCGAGAAGTAGACCGGGCTCAAGCACAAGACTCATGGCGGAGGGCATTCCCAGACGAGCCTTGAACCCGCCGAAGACGACTCTGCAGGGCAGGGTGCCTGCGAGTGAGAAGCCGAAGGCGCCCTTCCATCAACGCGAGAGTCACGTGGGCCGCCCGGAAGTTAAGCAAAAGGCGGATCGCATCCTCCTCGGTGCAGCGAAGATGTTCTACAGCGCAGCAAGGCCCCTCGACGTGGGACCCAGAACACCATCAGCTGCCTCAGGCGCGGGGCAGCGCATGCAGTGCTTCGGTGGGTCCCACCGCCGGACTAGCACGGTCAGTCACCGCAACGACACAGGAAGTCTGAACATTCCCCCTTCTCACGGCAGTGCGCAGGGCAGGAACGGGAGAAGGCGGATACAGGAACGGGCCTGACGAAGGGGGCAGGGCAAGTACAGTCGAAACATGGCCGCAAGAGCGCAGAGCAAGAGAGCGAGCCCCATTCGCAAAAGTCGCCAGACCCCACAGAGATGCCCAACTCCTCGAAGAACGCTCGACGGCGGAACACCCACGCATGACAAACATAAAGGGTGCCCCTCCAGACCCCGCTATTTGTTGCCGGGCACTCGTGCCAACTGTATGTCCAGAGTAAGGCCAAGGGCGTGGGAAGGAGGAGGAAGAGGAGGAGGGTGAGGAGGAGGAGGAGGAGGAGGAGTAGATGATGATGATGATGATGATGATGATGATGATGATGATGATGATGATGATGATGATGATGCTGGTGATGATGATGATGATGATGAGGAGGAGGAGGAGGAGGAGGAGGAGGAGGAGGAGGGTGAGTGGGAGAAGGAGGAGGAGGAGGAGGTGGAGGCGAGGAGGAGGAGGAGTATGAGGAGGAGGAGGAGCAGAGGAGGAAAACCAAATGCAAAGGAACAGGAGGACGATCGTGAACAGTGGGGAGGGGCGGTGCTTGAGCTGCGCGCCCGCTCGGCGCAGCTGGCGCGGGGCGAAGCAAATCGCAGTAGCCAAAGATGTAGCCTCGCCCGTGATTGTATGTCTTGTTTCGTTGTTTGTTATGTGGTGTTTCTGGTTTGTGTTCTCTTTACGTTGCTTGGTCTTTTACGGTTTGTTCTGTCTGATGTTTGTTCTGCCTGCAGGCCTGCGGGCGATACGCGCGCCTGATCCGACCAGGAGCCCAAGGGGCAGAGGCCAGAGCTCGTCCTCGAGAGGCTGGGGAAACACATGACCGACGGCCGCAGCCAGAGATCAAGGAGGCACTTCGCACGTAAGCGGAGTGGCGTCTGGACCTGGACGGTGATAAGGACGAGAGCGGGGGGAGGAGGCGAGAGAGCAAGAGGAGGAGGAGGTGGAGGAGGAGGAGAAGGAGGAGGAGGGACGAACGAACGACCGAGGCACGACCACCAGTGCGGACAAGTGTCCGAGCGTACCTAGCTGAGAGAGGCCATCGCTTTTGAGCTCTCATGTGCTGTGATGCATGGTGAGGCGCGCGTGCGCTACAGCTTGAAGTTCCATGGAGCAGCCGAAGGAGAGAGAGGAGAGGAACTCCCTGAAGTCGATGTCGTCGTTACCGAGAGGTGCCCTCTCGCTGGGTGGGTGTAATCGTCACCGCTTGGTGGTGCTGGTGAGGCTGGTCTGCGGTGGTCGGCTTTGGTGGTGGGTGGTTGTTGGTGGTTGGTCTGGTCTGCACGGCTTTCGTTGCCAGTCGAAGCTGGTGGTCTGTGCTGGGCTTGGCGCTGAGGTTGGCGCAGGACGCTGGCAGTCGGTGCTGCGATGCTTGGTTGCTTGCGGTCATCTCCGTCAGCGAAACTTCCGCGCGTCGATGTAATTCCCCGCGCTGTCAGACGGTGATGGGGACAGAAGCACTCTCGAGTGAGTTCCGCCATGTCGTCTGTCGCGGCTGTAAGCTATCTCGCGTTGATGGTGTCGCCGTGGTTGGGTGGAGTCGTCGGTGCTGCGTTGTGTGGTGTCTTCGTCAACATGTCGATCCGAGTCGTGTACGTGTACATACCGCCGAACAGCATCTTCCCAACGCTTGTGTTGGCCGCCGTGATGCCGCTATCCAATACTTGTGTCTAGAATATGGTTCCTGTTAAATACTCGCTGTGTCCCCCTGTTCATTGGGTGGGTGGCTACGCATGTTGCCCAGCGCCACACCATTTTTGCGATGCATCTGTGTCACGTCTGGGAGGTCGTGCATGGTCATGCATTCCTTGGCTCAAGCGGGTGATCGGGCGGATGTCCTCAGACCATAATTCGGCTTCGTCTGCTCCTTGTGGGTGGGTCTGGGCCAGTTCGGATGTGTCGCTGGTGACTTTACCTGTTCGGGACAGATCTGACGACGTCGATGGATTGCTGGATGCGTCATGGTCGCTGGAGTCGTCGCAGGAGCTGCCTTCGAAATCGCTGGAGTGGCGAGCGTTGGTGAAACTGCCGGCGTGCGTCGCAACGGTGTTCCAATGATTGCCCTGACCATCCGTCGCTGCGTGCGGTGTACCTGCGGTTACAGGGGTTCCGTTCATGTCTACGAGGGTATGCCGGTGCCGCGATGGAGTCGCAGGCTGTGCTCGAGTGGGTAATGTGTGCTCGTTGGCTCTCGTCTGTGTCCTGTTAGGCATGCCCCTGCAGCAAGGAGGCGGAGAGGGAAGGGCAACGAGGAAGAGGAACAGCCAGAAGGAGCACAACGAGGAAGGTGAGGAGGATCCGGAGCAGGAGCTGAGCTGAAAAGCCTGGCGCCGCGGCCAACGCGCGTGAGCCAGTCAGTGCCACGCGCACGAGCGAGGATGCCTCCAGCCACCGGAGCAGGGAGGGGACGGGAGAGGCCGCGGAGGACGAGGGGGAGCGGGGAGGAACGGGAGGTGCAAGCGGGGACGGATAGCCTGCGCACGGCCGGAACGTTTTGCTCCGCGTGCCGCCACGGCGGCCCCGGCGACGCGCTGTCCCTTGCGATTGGGCGTGGCTCAATGGGGGGGTCACAACTGGGGGGGTCAGAAAAGGTCCCCTTTCGTGCCCTGTTCGGGCCCCTCCAGAGCCCCAGGGGGCTCGTTTAGGTACCGTTTGGGTACCTTTCCGGACCACCCTCGCCGCCCCCCCATTTACGACCCCCCATTACGCGGCGCCCAATGCGAGCGGACAGCGGGTCGCTCCGCGTGTCGCTTCGCTCCGCGGGGTTGGGAGGCCGGGTGCCGCTCGCGGGACGTCGACGCCTGGGGAGCCGAGGCGTGGGCAGCGTGTCGCGCCGCAGCGTGGGGGGGGGGGGGGCAGAGCCGGCGGAGCGGCACTCGGGAGCGGCCAGGAGGGGGGTGCCCAAGAGGGGGGGGTGCAAATCATGACCGGCGGCATGTGCGCGGCCCAGCGGGTGGGCCAGGGACGTAATACAATAAGAAGGGGCGCCACGAAATCTGGGGAGAGATCATGGCCCCCGCCACGATATCCACCCCCCCTAGTCATCACCCCCCTCTTTTCCGCCCCCGAGACACGCTGTCCAGGAGTTCCCGAACGTACCGACTGGCGGGAGGAGGGGAGGAGGTAGGGGGGCGGCTGCGGTGTGCGCCCCAGCGGCGGACCTCGGGCAGCCCGTCGTCGTCCTCGCGGCACAGGTGCACGGTCAGGGACCCCAGGTTCTGGAACTTGAGGAAGTTCACCTCGCCACGGGGAGGGGGGGGGGCGGCCAGGGAGGGGGGGAGGTGGGTGAGGAGGGGGGATGGGGAGCAAGGAGAGGAGGGAGGTGGGTGAGGGGGGGGGAGCAGAGAGGAGGGAAGGGGAGGAGGGAGATGGGTGAGGGGGAAGGTGGGTGAGGAGGGGGAGGGGGAGGGAGGTTACTGGGGAGGGAGGTGGGTGAGGAGGGGGGAGTAGGGGGGAGGTGGGGGGTGGGTAAGCAGGAGGGGGTGATGGGGAGCAGGGGGACGGGGAGCGCGTTAAAAGTATCCCTTGCCACAACGCTCACCACCTGTATGCCCCCTGGTCAGCCGAAACACGGAGGCTCAACTGAGAGGTGCTCCGACGAGGGCTGTTTGTATTCTTGCTGTCGCTGTCGCCACTCCCTCTCTCTCTATATATATAACCCTCTCTCGCTTTTTCTTTGTTGCGACGTTGACGTGCTGTTCTACTCCAGTGAGGTTCCCGAACGATGTACTCAACTCAGCGGGCGAAGGAGGAGGAGGAGGAGAGGGAGGAGCATAATCAGCGGCCGCGCAGCAACACTTTTCGGGTAGGATATGTCGCCGCGCTGTTTGTTCGTCCCCCCCTGAGCCTTCCCCCACACGAACGTTACTCCAAGTTTTCGGGCTGTGACTCTCGGCTCCCCGGCGGCCGATCGGGACAATCCGGGGACGACCCCCGGAACACTCTCGACGAGGCGCAGATGGCGGATGGAAGCCGCCCCGTGCCTCGAAAACTTCCGAAACGGTCCGCAATCCACATCCGAGCATCGCCGTTCGTCGTTGCCCCTGTTTCGAATTGCCCCTGACCCCGAAATATACGAAGAAACCCTGGACAGCTCGCCCCCTGACTTACAACTGCCAGCGAAATATCCTCACCCCCTGGCCTAAAACTGCCAGCGAAATATCCTCGACCCCATGACTTACAACAGCGAGCGGAATATCCTCAGCCCCCGAAATAGTACTGCCATCTACCGGCTTTGGTGATTCACTTGTTGTGAGAGTTCTGTCAGTCTACTTTTCTGGAAATCAAATTACGGGCTGCGCCCGTAAACAAGCGGCATAACACCCAAACGTTTGGAGGTCCGCGCGGAGCGGGCCGGGGGCGGCGCCGGAGGCGCCGCCAGGGGGCCCGAGCGCGGATCCAAGAAGTCCGCGCGGAGCGCCAAAACTTTATGATAATGTTCATGTTTATGGCCATTGTTCCTCTTCGACGAAAACAAGAGGGGGGGGGGGGGGGGGGGCGGGTGGGGGGGGGGGGGGGGCACCCACAAGGGTTGGACAGCGCGAGCGCGCGCGCGGGCAGAGCCCCCACCTCGAGCCTCGCGGCGACGGAGCCGTCTGGTCCGGGGCTGCCTGGGCGCCGCCGCCCGCAACTCCTCCTCCTCCTCCTCCTCCTCCTCCTCCTCCTTCTCCTCCTGTTCTTCCTCCTCCTCCTCCTCGTTTCTTCTGATCGTCGTCGTCCTCCTCCTCCTCCTCCTCCATCTCCTCCTCCTCCTCCTCCTTCTCCTCCTCCTCCTCCTCCGGCTCCTCCTCCTCCTCCTCCTCCTCCTCGTCCTCCTCCTCCTCCTCCTCCTCCTCCTCGGGGATCTCCCGACCTGGGTCAATCCAGACCTGGGTCAGTCAGGCCTTCCAGAATCCTGCAAGATCCTGCACCTAAACCCAGTTCAGTGCGAAGGAAGCTGCGAGATCCTGCAGGATCCTGCACCCAAGCCCGGGTCCATGCGACCCTGGCCCTGCAGGATCCTGCAAGGTAATTACGGCGCTTTGGCTGACCCCGTTTGCAGTGGCCCCCTCCTATTGAGCCCCGTCCGATACCCCCCCTTCGCCCGACCCAGCCTCATGCTCAATTGATATGAGTATCGTTCAACCGATCCCCTCCCCAGCGGCGTGGCCTGGGCCCCACTGGCCGATTTACCCCCCTAGATGGGGGTATAGGCCGTTCTCTTCGGGTTTCGAGGGGTGCATCCCCAACCTGGGGTGGTAAGTTGGTGGGGGTCTCGAAGGGGATGGGGAGGGGGATGGGGATTGGTCAAACGATACCGATGATGGGGGACCTCGCCTGCCCCCCGGACCCTCTGCCATCAGCGTCACCTCCGAGGCCAGCGCTCTGGGCGCCGAAGGGTGCCGCAAGAGTCGGGACAGAGGGAGCCCACCCCTTCGACGACACGCAAGGAGTGACCTTTGGGTAAAAGCGACCTTTGGTGCGCGGCTTTGTGGGTGCCGCGGGGGGGCTCAACACGAGAATGCACAACGCTACAGTCGGGGGCTTGACCTAAGGAACCCAAAATAAGGAACGAGGCCCCATTTTTCTCATGAGTTAAACTTCGATTCCCGATCGAAAACATAAGGAAAACCTGAGGCTAGCTGCGAATCACTTAAGGAACGCGGAGCCCCTCCCCAACGAAAAGGGTTCCTTCTTCAGGGCCCCGACTGTACTGCCGCATCGCGTCCGGCGATCCGGGGACTCCATGTGGCAAGCACCAAGAGGTCACTCCGGCGAAAAGTCACGTAATCACGTGCAGCCGACCCCAGCATATGTTGCGCAGCCGGCCTCACCCCCTCCCCCTCCCCCTCCTCCTCCCTCCTCCTCCTCCTCCTCCTCCTCCTCCTCCTCCTCCTCCTCCTCCTCCTCCTCCTCCTCCTCCTCCTCCCCCTCCCCCTCCCCCGGCCCTCCCCCCGGTGCCCCACTCGATCTTCTCGAAGTCCTTCGTGGGGGGCGCCCCGCCGGCCGCGTCGTTCATGTCCAGGTTGGTCTCGTTCGCGAAGAGCCGCGCGCGCGAGGGCGCCTGAGGAGAAGAGCCCCGCCAACGGAACAGGGCAAGGGAGGAGAGAGTTCGGGAGAGTTCGGCGACGGCGACGTCGACGACCGCTGGCTCGATCGTTCTGTTGTCCTTGGTGTTGGTGTAGTTGTTGGTGTTGATGTTATTGTTGTTGTTACTCTCGCTGATGTTGTTGTGGTCGTGGTTGTCGTGGTTGTTGTCGTTACTGTCAATGAGGCCGTTGCTGTTGTTGATGTCGTGGCTGCCGCTGCTGATGTTGATGTTGATGGTGCTGCTGCTGCTGTTGTTGTTGCTCTTGTGTTTGCTCTGGCTCTTGCGGCTGATGTTCCTGCTGTTGCTGTGGCTGTGGCTGTGGATGTTGATGCTGCGACTGTTGTTGTTGCTGTTGTTACTGTTGTTGCTGCTGCTGCTGTTGTTGTTGATGCAGTTGTTGTTGCTGTTGCAGTTGCTGTTGTTGCTGTTGCTGTTGTTGTTTGTGTTGATGTTGTTCTTGTTGTTGTTGTTGTTGTTGTTGTTGTTGTTGTTGTTGTTTTTGTTGTTGTTGTGGTTGTTGTTGTTGTGTGTGGGGGGGGCGCCAGTCCAGGTCCAGGGGCGGGGGGGAATCTAGGATCTAGGATCGAGGCTGGTTGGGGAAGGAGGGGGAGGAGGAGGAGATTCGGGGCTCGAGGAAGGGGAGGAGGAGGTGACCAGAGGAGCAGAGGGCAAGAAGAGAGGGACTTCGGGAGAACTCGGCGACGACGATCTCGAAGACCGCGGGCTCGACTCAGCTCTTCTCCCTGACACCCAAACGTTCCCAGGGTTCCATCGAGCCTCTTCGGGGGAGCTCGCGTGGCACCGCCGCGGGCAAGCCGGCCCCACGAGGCCCCCGACGGGGCACCCACGAGGCCCCCGACAGGGCCCCGGAAACTGCCCAGGCGCCATCAAGAAGGACAGCGAACACGAGAGATGTGGCGTCCATGACCCCGCGCCAAGTCAAAGAAGGCACTGAACTGGAGCTGGTCGTCGAGTCGACCCTCTTCCAGCGCGGCTGCGCTGGAGGAAGGATCATCATCCTCCCGATGCTCAGCTCAGTTTTCATCCCGCAGGTCGTTCTCACTGCCATCCTCCTCCTCCTCTTCCTCCTCCTCCCCCTCGCACTCGCCGCCTCCGTCATTGTCCTGCTTGTCTCAGCCTCCCAACTCAGCCTTGCCCTCCTCCTGTCATCGCCACCGCTCGATGATCTGCAGGATGTGTGTCACAGTAGGGGCTCGACCACAAGGAGCCGTTCGCACGAAACCGTACCCCGAGACCCCAGGAAGGACATTGATGTTTGGGTATGGGAACGTTCCGCTGCCCATAGCAAATCCATCGAAACCCAAGAGACCCAGGGCACCCTGGAGGCAAGCAGGGTGTTTCTTGGCATGGGTTTCCACTGCAGCGCCAACGTGCGCTTGTTCGCAGGGGCCCTGCAGTGCGACGCAGGCGCTGCAGCGAGGGTCCACGCGGGCTGCGTGCTGTCGGCTTCAGCTCGGCAAGATAAGTTCACAGTGGGCTGACGCACGTCCTGACGATCATGGACCCACCGCCATCGTCGTCGTCGTCGTCCTCCTCTTCCTCCTCCTCCTCCTCCTTCTCCTTCGGTTTGACGCCACCCAGGAGCACCCTCGCCGCGCTGGGGGACGACACGTGGATGGCCTGCAGCTTCACGTTCGACTTGAACCAAAAGTAGATCAGGACCTCGGCGCTGGCATCCTCCTCCGAGGTCACCAGCTTGCCGCCTCGGGTTGGCGGCGCATGGCAAAGGGGGTAGGGTTAGGTCGGGCATGTTCTCCTACAGGCGGATCCTGGGCGAAGAATGCAAACTACCCCAAACAATAATCAAAGATGGACAAAAAACGCAAAACATCGTCCCCAGACTATTTTTGACTATGTTGGGATATTCCTCCTGTAGAGGGACAGGCCCGACTCACGGGTTGGGGTGGGGGGAAGGCTTCTCAGAATGAGCCTGCTGCCGAGCAGGCGCCGGACCTACATCTTCGGAGAAGGCCCGCGTTTCTGAGAAGCAGCGATGCTTCTGCGAGGCCTCGCCCCAGGAGGAGGCGGAGGAGGAAGGTGCGGAGGTGGAGGGACAGGAGGAGGAGGAGGAGGAGAAGGAGATGGAGGAGGAGGAGGAGGAGGAGGGAGGGAGGAGGAGGAGGAGGATGGAGGAGGAGGAGGAGGAGGAGGAAGAGGGGGATGAGGAGGAGGAAGAGAAGGATGAGGAGGAGGGGGAGAGGAGAAGGATGAGGAGGAGGAGGGATGAGGAGGAGGAGGGGGAGGAGGAGGGAGGATGAGGAGGAGGAGGAGGAGGAGGAGGAGGAGGAGAAGAGCCCCTGGGGGCGCAGGGAGCAGGGCCCCCGCAGGTCCCCCGAGGCCGAGGCACAGCGGGCGACCGTTAGGCCGGGCGTGTCCCCCTGAAGGCGGGTTTTGGACGAAAGCGCCAAGTAGTCAAACAAATACTCAAAATTGTAAGCAACAAGAAAAAATCGAACAATCGCCCCCCGACAATTTTTGTTGACTACTTTTGAATATCACCTCTGTAGAGGGACACGCCCGACTTACAGGCCACCGCCCAGGGCGAGCCCAGTCCTCAGCACGGGATGCAGAAGCTGCCCACGGCGCCGAGCACGCTGCCGGAGGAGGGCACGGATCGGCCGCGAGCCCGAGGGGGGGGACATGAGAGGCAGATGACCTTCTCGGCAGGCGGAGGGACTTCTCAGAGGCTCTCGCGCCTTCTGGGGCGTCTTTTCGCGGCCTCCGGGGAAGGCTCCCCGGAGACTTCTCGGAAGGTCGGGGGGCCTCCGGACCCTCTGAGCAGGCCTCCTCCTTCTCGCTTCCCCGCCCCTCGCTCGCCGCCGATGCGGGGACGACGCCGAGGGACTCCGGACAGGGAGGGAGGGAGGACGGCGAGAGGGGGGGGCTGGGAGGGGGGGCGGCCTGGCCGCACGTGACGTCAGCCCGAAGTCTGGGCGCCCAGGGCGGGTACGGAGTAGGGTTCAGCCGGGCCTGTCCTCCTGCAGGGGGATTTTGGACAAACAATAAAAGATAGTCAACAAAAATACCCCCCAATGGTCAATTACAAAGAAAACATCTTTTTCCTATGTTTGAATAATCCCCCTGTAGAGAGAGGGACACGCCCGACTTAAGAGTAGGGGGGCGGACTTGTTCGGGGGCTCTGCAGCGCCTGCTCGGCAGCACGCGGAGACGTCGGCAGAGATGGGCGGGGCCTCTTCTGATTTCCGACGGCCGAATTCTCCTGGATGTGTTCTGACTGTCACCTCCCACCTCGTTCGTTCAAAAAGAACATCTCGCCATCCTTTTCGGGCGTTGCGTGATGGGGGGGGGGAGGGCGATGGAGTAAGGGGGGGAGAGAAACGTCCACCCTTCCTGCCGCTTTTGGGCCCCAGGGGGCCCCTTCTAGGGCCCCTTTCCGGCACAAGAGGTGCACCTTACCCCCCCATGCCCAAACCCCCGACGCCATGCTTTTTCCATGACGTCGACCCCCCCAAAGGTCTCGACCCACTCCCAGGCGCCGGCATTTCATCCCGAGCCGTCTTGCCAGGGCCCTGGGGCCCGGGAAGGGCCCCCAGAGGCCGACCATCGCGAAGAGAACTCCCGTCGTGGCTCTTGTCCTGCCTCGAGGGGGTCCGGGTGCATCGCCCCCCGCCCCCATTACGCAGCGTCTGGCTTTCTCTCTGGGTCTTCCCTCTGGGCGCAGCCCTCTTCTCAAGGCTTCACGTCCGGAAGCCGCGCGGCCGGGGGATCCACCGTTCCTGCCTAGTGAGATACCCCGCGACCGGGCCCCTGCTCTTTGGGCTGGCCGCGTTGGGCGGCGATGCGGGGTGAGGCGGAAGCGAGCAAGGATCGGCGGCGAGCGAGGGGGAGGAGATGAGAAGGAGAAGGCCTTCTCAGAAGACGGCGGGACTTCTCAGCAACCCTCGCGCATTCTGAGGGATCTGTTTTCTGTTTTCCAGGAAAGCTTAAACAACTTCTCAGAAGGCCGGGGGACTTCCGAGCCTTCTGAGAAGGCCCGCCCCTTCTCACATTCCCCCTCGCTCGCCGCCGAAAGAAGGGAGGAATGAGGGGAAGAGGATAGAGTTTATACTGCCGATGCATTCGGGCTGCTGAGATAAGGACCTACAATGAAATGAAGAAGCTCCTTTTCTTCCAAGTCGAGCCGTGGAATCCGAAGGAACGGCCGTAACATCCGAATGAGTATCGAAAAGAGAAACGGAACGCATGCACACATAAGGGACCACCGAGCCCACTCCGACCTCGAACTGGACCTGATTTCAAGGAGAAGGCTGTAGAGGGGCAGGGGTGGCGCGGTCAGGAAAGGGAGGGAATTGGGCGAGAGAGAGAGGGTAAGAAACCAGGCCGAGTACGTGCGCCGTGTCTGACACCCCTCCCTCCCATCCACCATTCCCACTGCGCTGTGTTCTCTCCTGTCCGCTGGCGGGTGTCCCAGCGGACCCGGAGCTCACGACCGACGCACGCGCTGACGGGCGTCCCAGCGGAGCGATACCCCCCAAAACGGCCCCGCCGTGGGGTGCGCAAGCAGAGAGAGAGAGAGAGAGAGAGAAAACAAAAAAAAGGCGGGAGGAGGATGATGCGGCGGATGGAGGAGGAGAAGGAACGATCTCTCTCTCCATCTCGGAGGAGGAGGAGGAGGCGGAGGAGAAGAAGGGGATGAAGGAGGAGGAGGAACGATTTCGAGGAGGAGGACGGGGAAGAGGACGGGGCGGAGGAGGAGGTCGGGTTGTGGAGCTGGGAGCTACCATGCCGCTGTCTGCACTTCTACCACTCTTTGCTCTCGCGGGCTCGCTTCTTCTCCGCCTCGTTTTGCACTTCCTGCATTCCTAAGTCTGCACTCCCGATATGTCTTGCCACCAGGCGCTGCAAACGTAGGATAACATTCCGCTCAACGTCCAAAAGGCGGCGGAAGGACGGGAGGGGAAGCGAGGGGGAACGTTAGGGGGGGAACCATCGACCTGCAATCGGCGACACATCGCGGACCGGTCGGCGATAGGCCCCTCTCTCGATCTCGACAGCGGGACCGCGCGATCCTAGGCGGGGCGGGCGATCTGGCACCTATCGGCGCATCGGCGATGAATGGGCGAGTGGGGTTCGATGCGCTCCCCTCTGAACATCCCCTCCCTGACGTCGCCTCTGGGGCAGGGGCAGGAGGACGACGAAGTGAGACGAATGCCAAAGAGGACGATGCAGTCCTCGTCTTTGTGGGCCCCGGAAACGGCAGGGCCGTTTTTTCACCGTTTCCAAAAAAAACATTGAAAATGGAAACGGCAAAAAAACGGCGACTAGAAACGGCAACAAAACGGCTCCAGGATCGGAACTGGAGCGGGAACCGGTCAAAAAACGGCGACGGAACCGGTAAAACAACGGCGTCGGAACCGGCAACAAAAAGGCAGAACGGAACCGGTAAAAAAACGGCCCTGTCGTTCCCAGGGCCCACTAAGGTCCTCGTGCTAGCATGAAGAACGCCAGCCATGCACGAAGCGGCGCCTCTGGGGCAACGGCGAAATCTGGCCAAGAACAGGTCCCCCAACCGACATCTGAGGAACGCCCTGAAAATCTGAGGAAACCAAGAGGCACCGATACCGCTGCTCCCCGGACCTCTTCCGGGTTGCGTTCTGACTAGAATTTCGAAGCGAATCCAGCGGTGGCGACGAGGGCCTCCCAGGAGGCCCAACAAGGGGAAAACGGACGAGGCGGTAGAGGTATGGGCACCTCCTCCGAAGCTGACCTCTCCTGAATCCACTGTGTTCCTGATGTCAAATTCTTGGGTGAGTGCATGTCTCTGCTCGCTGCTCGACGTGGCCTCTGCCAATGGGACCCTGCCGCGGGGCGGCGGGCAGCCCGACTGCCCGCGGCCTCCGCAACCTGGCAGTTGGCAGCTAAGGCGCCCCCCAGATCAAAGGGTCGCCACTACGACGCAGACGAGGAGGAGGAGGTGGGGGAGGTGGAGGAGAAGGAGGAGCAGGAGGAGCCCAGCGTAGAGGAGGAGCCCGTCCAACTCGACCTCTCACCCCTCTGACTCGGGGGAGGAGGCGGCAGCGGGCCGCGCGAAAGAGCAGGAGGAGCAGGAGGAGGAGGAGGAGGACGAGAGGAACCGTGAGGAGACGATGACATCGCGCGCGCGCCTCGGAGTGCCTCTGGAGCCTCCTCGCTGTCGGCGTTGAGAATGCCGACCCGGGCCCAGTCCACCTGGGGGCGGCCACGGCGACGACGGGGGCTGCGGCGGCGACGGCAGCGACGGCGACGTTGGCGGCGGCAATGACGACGACGGCAGCGACGGCGATGGCGACGGCGGCGATGACGGCGACGGCGGCGGCGACGACGACGTCAACAAGGGCGGCGGCAACGGCGGCTGCAACGACTGCGGCGACGTCGGGGGCTGGGGTGGTGACACCCGCGGTCTTCCTCCTCGAACTCGAATTCAAGATCCCCCTCCTTATCCTCCTCCTCCTTCTCCTCCTCGCCGCCGCCGCGGGCCTTCTCAGAGCGTTGCGGAACGCTCGGATGGCGTCCTCGAACGCTCTGGCACAGATGAATCATCGTCCTCGCCCCGCCCGAAGGACCCTTACGGCAACAGACCCTCCGAGCTGGCGGGCACCAAGGTGCTCCCTCCGTGTGGCCAGCCTCAGGTCGGGCATGCCCCCCGACAGGCGGGCTTTGGACGAAAAATAAAAAACAAAAATAGACAAAAAATAGTCAAACAATGGTCCACCGATTATTTTCAAACTGTTTTTGAACATTTCTCCTGTACGAGGGACAGGCCCGACTTAGGGCCAGCCAGGCCGCTGCCCGGCTCGAGCGGATGCCGCTCGTGGGTGGGCGGACGCACTTCCCGCTCGAACGTATGTTGGTTGCTCCTGTGGCAGGCCATGCCGCCTGGCTCGAGGAGCTCCTCGGCGCGAGTGCCGAGGACCTGGAAGCAGGGCCGCCCTCCTGGTGCTTGACGTCCGAGAGCTGCCCCATCGCAGTTCGGCGGTGGACAAGCCTCCCTTTCTTAAACCACCCTTTGGTGAAAACGGCCTATAGGACCGAGACCGACGGACCTGGACCCGCAAGAATGACGGCCGCGGCGCCCTCTCGCGAACCGAAGACGGCCAACTCGCTGATCGACGTGTCAGGGTATGGGGAAAGCAACGGGTACCGATACCGCTACTCCCCCGGCCCTCTCCCGGGGTGCGTTCTGACCAGGACTTCGAGGCAAATCCAGCGGTGGCGACGAGGGCCGCCCAGGAAGCCCATCACAGGGTAAAACGAAGAGAGAGGGCACAGGTAATGCGGGATGACGATTAATAAAAAACTGGGAGGGAACGATTAAACTAATAGTTTTCTGCTATTTCTGCACAACTTTCTGACTGGAGGAGAACGATAAAAAATAGTCTTCCAGCCCGCGGCCGGTTTTTTCGAATCGTCCTCCCGGGCGCCGCCGCGTGAACACGACCCCCGGGCATTTATAAATCGTCATCCTCCATTATGGGTGCCTCTTCTGACTACCTACCAGACCACCCCAACCCAACCCGAAGACCCGAATTTCGGGTTGGGGGGGGTAAGGGTTCCACACGTGTTTTTTCGATGTGTCCCGACCCCCCCCCCCCACTGGAAATCGAGGGTAAATCTGAGCCTTCGGGTTGGGTTGGGGTGGTTAGGTGGGTGGTGATCTTCCCTCCTCTGAGGGCCGGAGGCCCATCCACCTCTGAGCAGCCCTCGTCGAGCGCCAGCCCCCTGGGGGCAGGGGGCCTGGCCTTCCCCCCGGAGCCGCCCCCGACCCTGGGGACAAACGCCGCCCGCCGACGGCCGGCCGCGCCCGGGGTGTCCGCTCCCTCCGCCGCGGCCCGCGCCGCCCGGGCGGCGGTCCGCGGCAGGCCCAGCACTGCGGGGAGCCCGGCGGCGCGGCGGAGATGACGCGGCCCAGGGACGCACACTTTTTTTTACTATTTTTTTTTTATAAAAAAAGAAACAAACAAAAAAAGACACGCCGAGAGCCCCGCGGCAGAGGAGGAGGGGAGGGGGGGGGAGGGAGGGAGGGAGGACGAGGGAGGGGGAAAAGCCTGCAACGAATTCTCACCCTGGTGGCCCAGGGGCGCACACATAGATCCACACACCAGTCCCAGGATTCCCCACCTTTCTCCAGATCTTCTGGGTTGTGGTCTTCCCCCCCACGTCGCATAGTTTCCTATATTTTCGGGGCAATCGGCGATTCATTGTGCCTGTGTGTTTTTCCCCTCCTGAGGAGAGCGCGAAGCCCAGCGGCACACGCAGAAGCAGCAGCGAGCTTCTAACATCCAGGGGTGGGCCGTGCCATGCGGCGAGCAACGCGTCGGGCGTTGGTGCCGCACCGCCGTCGGTCGGCGCCGAGGCTCCGCGCGGCGGTGCCGCAGATGAGCCTCAGCGCGCCGATCCCTCACTCCCGCTTATGTTGCTCCCATCCTACTTAAGGAACACATCCCAGAAATGATTTCGAGCACCCAGAAAAGTGTCGAAGCAGTGTCGAAACAGTGTCGGGCGAGTGTCTCCCAGGGCCCGACACGTGAAAACCCTTGAGTTTCGGCACCCTTTGTGGCCGCTCGGAATTCTTCCTGGTGATCAAGGCTAAAATAACTTGGAGCATCATAAACTCCCGCCCCCCCCACCCCGCGTCCCCCCCGTTCCTCCGCAGACGGCTGGGGGAGGTCGGACCCCCGAGCCCCAGCGGCTTCCCTCCCGGTTCACAAAAAGTTTTGCCAGAGTATGGGGGCAGCTCGCTCGCCACCGCCCGCCGATGAGCTCCAGCATCCCGCACGGCTCCTGGTGCAAGACTGCAGCCGCGTAAGCGTTGCCCGAAACGCGTGCGCCGTCGACGCACTCGGCGTCGACACCGGAAGCAGCGATCTCCTCTGCCTCGGTCGAGTCCCCGTGACGTGCTCCGCGGTGCCCGTCGCCCCGCGAGGACCTCACCGCACCAAAGTTGGCCTCCGCCCGTGGCAGCTCTGGCGCTTCTAGCACCTCGGCGAAGACCCCCGCACGTGGGTGCGCCTTCGCCCGACGGCCGCAGCGCGCTCGGACTCAGCGCGTCGCCAGGTCGCCGTGGCCTGAGCCCTGGGGGCCGCGGCGCACCTCCTCCGAGGGCGTTCCGCGCTGCAGGCTGAGCCTCCCCACCGGCAGCGCGCAGGGACCCCTCGACTGGAGGAAAAGAGCACTGACTGAGCACCAAGCCTCGGAGCTCCGCAAGGATCTCTTCGATCGGCGCTGACATGCCCATCCCTGGCGGGCGGAGCGCGCCAGAGGCGGCGCCGGAGGCGCTGCCAGGGGGGCCCAGCGCAGATCCAACAGAATCCGTGCGGACGTCCGCAAGTTTCTCTTGTGATATTCGTCCGATTGCATGCCGAGCGCCTAACCAGCAGCGCGCAGCCTCCGACATCAATTCACGTGTTCTCGTGGATGTGATTGCCCGCAGGCGTCGGCGAAGAGCAGGCGCCCCCGCTCCAGCGTGAGCGCCGACAGGTCGGCGTGCACCATCGCCGTGGCCCGCCGCCAGATGCCGGGCGTTGGCAGAACTGGGTTGAGTGGAACCTGGTTTAGTGATTTGTACCGGGGGCGCCCCCCCGTCCCATCTCCACTAACCAGAACTGCCGTCACCCGAAAAACAGCAGCTACAGCAAACCTGGTTGAGTGAATATGGCCAATTGAGGGGCCCCAGGGCCCTACCACTAACCGGGTCCCCGTACCGGGGGTCCTGGCTATACCCGAACATGGCCACGCCGCTGGCCGCATCGGTCCGGCGCAGCAGCGCCAGGCAGCGTCGCGAGCACCAGCTTTGCGCCGCCGCGCCCACGGTGGAGGCGCGGGGGCCGCCGTGGCGCTGGGGCGCACCGCGGGGCCCCGGCCCTCCGATGTCGTGGCAGCAGGAGCGCCCGCTCCCCGAACAGCAGAGGCGTGGGCGCACGAAGACCTGGCAGCTCTCAGACCCCGGCGACGCAGCAAACATCGCCTCGGTCGTTTTTGTCCACTTGCTCGGCCGCTGGAGGCCGCGTCCTGGGCCGGGGCACGTCCGAAACTCGGCGGTGGACAAACCTCCCGTCAGTGAACCTCCCCTTAGTGAAAGCGGCCTGGGACCGAAACCGCCGGACCTGGACCCGCAAAAAGGACGGCCGCGACGCCCTCTCGCGAACCGAGAGCGGCAAATTCACTAATCGACGCGTCAGGATAGGAGGTCGATCCACCTCCAAAAACAACCTACTCCAGATCTCATTATAAAGCACCCCCCCGTGCCCACCCTGCAGGCAGCCCGTTCGGACCCCCCCCAACGCACTCCGCCCCAGTGCACCAAGATCGCCCACCCCCCCCCCCCCCCCCCCAACGCGCCCCGACGGAGGCCGCCCGGCGACCCCCCGTGCGACGATCCACCCTCACATGCTCATCGGAAGATCCGGAGTACTCAGGATGAACATCCAGCCCCACCTCCTCCTCCTCCTCCTCCTCCTCCTCCTCCTCCTCCTCCTCCTTCTCCTCCTCCTCCTCCTCCTCACACACTTCTTCCGCCTACCCTGTCACATTGTCCGTTAGCTCCTTCCTGTGATCACACATCCCGTCGCCATCGACGGTCAAAACCTTCAGGGTCGGCGGCACCGGCCATAAGGCCTTCACAATACTCAGGATGGACATCCAGCCCTGGGGAAGGTGTCCAATTCCCAGGGGTCCCACGCGAACAAGAGGCTCACATCGGAGGAGAGGACCCTCGAGGCCTTCCGCCCGAATGGCTGCGGAGCTGCGGGTGCTGCTGCTCCTCGTCGTGCTCCTCCTGCTGGTTCCTTGTCATCCTCCCTGCCGTCTCAAGCGCCATCTCAGCGACGATCAAGAAATGGTCTTACGCGAGATGGCATAGCGACCTTACGCCACGGCTTACGCGGGCCGCCGGCGCGGCATTGGAGAAGAGGGCGCTTACGCGCGACCTTACGCGGGCAGCTTACGCGAGAATGTCGGCGCAGGCGACCCCGTTTCTTCTTGCGTCGCTCATCTGGATCGCGACCGCCATCAACGTCGCATTCAGACCACCGCCATCATGGCAACCGGCCCAACTGTAGCCTCAAAAAAATGGTCGTCAAGGCAACCGCCGGGCTTAACTTAACACCACCGTCATCATCCCCACCCATGAGAACCGCTACCTCGCAGGAGCACCCCGCCATGCCAGGACGAGCTCGGAGGCGATGGAGCTGGAGGAGCACGCAGGAAGCGGCAAAATACGCTTCAGGAGAGCAGATGCAGATCCGAGCTGAGCAATGCGTCTGCAGGACCGTCGCGGACGCAGCAGCCTGAGACGTCGCAACAGACTCCGGAATGTCTGGCAGCAGCGACAAAAGCAGCAGCCGACGCGGGCCAGCCCCGCATCGGGGCCTTATGCAGGTGCGGCAACAACGGAGGCGGCGCCGGTGGCAGCAACAGCGGCAGCCGAGGCGGCGATCCTGACTGCGACGAGGACGGCCGCGACGACGCCGATTGTGACGGCGACCAACGACGATGACGACGAGCGCCACTGCAACGACGTTGGCGACCGCGACAGCGACGACCCTGACGGCGACGAAGACGAAGACAGTCGCACGCGCGCGCTCCCTAGATACCTGACGTACTGACTATGATCATACGGGTCCCCTGGCAATCACGACCCTTTCCCTGGGGCCGGCTTTTCATCCCGAGCCGTTTTTCGACGGCCCCGAGGCCAGAGCCGGAAGCGGCGAAAAACGTCCGAGTGGAATATTCCAGCACGAGACTCCCCTGAACCACTCACTTGGACAATGAGAACGACGGGGAAGGATGCACGGGAGGGAGCTGATACTGAAGAAGCGGAGGGATGCGGAGTCGGAGGGGGAGCAGGAGGAGGGAGGAGCGGAGAAGAGGGAAAGAACGGAGGAGCGAAATAGAGGCGTCACCTTCGAACATGGCCAAATTGGTGGTCCACGGAACCCCACGGGCGGTCTGGGGCGCGTGTGGCGCTGCCTCGCCCGCGAGGTCCCCGTCGGCGCCCACGCTGCCCGACATCATCCCCGCCTCGGCTGCCGCCGCCCCCCCGCACAAGGCCCCCGCCGGAGGCCCCGCCTCTCGGGATCACAGCCCCCCTGCTCCCACAGCGCACCGACCCCTCCTCCTCCTCCTCCTCATCATCCTCGCCCTCCTCCTCTTCCTCCTCCTCCTCCACCTCCTCCTTCTCCTCCTCCTCCTCCCTCCTTTCGCCTTCTCTTCTCCTCCTTCTCCTCCTCCTTCTCGTCGTCCTCCTTCTCCTCCTCCTCCTTCTCCTTCTTTTGCCTCCTCACTCCTTCTCCTCCTAGCCCACCGCCTCTTTCTCCCCTCTCCTCCTCCACCCTTCCTCCTCCTCCTCCTCCTCCTCCTCCGCCTCCTCCCTCCTCCTCCTTTTCCTCCTAACCACCCGCCTCTTTCTCACCTCCTCCTCCTCCTCCTCCCTTCCTCCTCCTCCTCCTCTTCCTCCTCCTCCTCCTCCTCCTTCTCCTCCTCCTCCCTCCTCCTCCTCCTCCTCCTCCGCCTGCTCCTCCGCCTTCTCCTCCTCCTTCTCGTCCTCCTCCTCCTCCTCCTTCTCCTCCCTCCTCCTCCTTCTCCCCTCCTTGTCCTCCCCCTCCTCCTCTCCTTCCTTCCCCTCCTAGCCACCCGCCTCTGTCTCACCTCCTCCTCCTCCTCCCTTCCTCCTCCTCCTCCTCCTCATCCTCCTCCTCCTCCTCCGCCTCCTCCTCCTCCTTGTCCTCTCTCCTCCTCCTCCTATACCTCCTCCTCCGTCTCCTCCTCCTCCTCCTTTCTCCTCATTCTCTTCCTGCTCCTCCGCCTCCTCCTACCCCTCCTACCCCTCCTATCCATCTGCCTCATCGTCCTGCCCCTCCTGGGGGGAGCTGTCAGGTTTGCGGCGCGCACACGGGGGGCGGCGCGAGGTGAAGCCTTCTAAGGGGGCGGGGGAGGCATACGAGAAGGTGCGGGCGGCTAGGATGCCTTTCCCTCGCCTTCTCAGAACCAGCCCCCGCCCCTGGCGCGCGCTGCCAATCACAGCCGCCCTGGCCGTTCCCGAGGCCGAGAGTGTGAGAATTCTTTGTTTACCCCCCAACACACACAACCACACACACATACACATACACACATACACACACACACACGCACACACACACACGCACACAAACACACACATACACACACATACACATACACACATACACACATACACACAAACACACACACACACAACGAGCCCTGAATCGCACGAGCTTGCCCCAGACAGCGCGCAGCAGACGGAGAGAGAGAGAGCGTGCCGGACGACGACCACGACGAGGGAGGGACGAAGACAGGAGCCTCGAAGCCCATACTCAAAGCGAACCTCAAACAGCTTGTGCACCTCAGGGCGCCACGACGAAAGGCCCCACAGCCGCAGGGAGCTGGCTCAGTCGCTTTGGGCTCCTGGGGCCGTCCACCCTGCCCTGAGGGACATCGATAGAGGGGGGGGGGGACTGGCCTTGGGGGGGGGGGGGGGGCATAGAGCTGGAAGCGGCGATGGCCCCCGATTGCGAAAGCGCAAGCTCCTGAGCGGGGTGGTCGATCGGGCCCATTACTCTGGATCCCTTAATAATCGACCCCCCCTAAAAAACCGGACCCCCCCTTCCTTCGCGACATAATTTTCCGGACCCCCTCCCGCAGAGGGCGCCTTAATATTCCGGAACCCCCCCCAACAAAATTGCGAGCGCGACGACGACGACGACGACGACGACGACGACGACGACGATACGAGAACTACGACTACGACTACGACGACGACGACGACGACGACGACGACGACGACGACAACGACAACGACGACGACGACGACGACGACGACGACGACGACTATGGGCCACCATCCTGCAACGTGTGTGCTACGGGCCACCATCCTGGTGTGCCACCTTGCAGTGCGTCTACAACAGACCACTTTAGCGCAGTGCCCACCACCGGCCACACGTTTTGCCAGTCGCCGTTTGCTGATTTCCCAGATAGTCGTCATCGCCATCAGAAGTACCATCATTGCCGCAGCCGCATCAGATCGTGATGATGGTGATAACGACGATGATGAGGATGATGACGATGCTGTTGAAAATGTTGTTCATGATGATGCTGATGATGATGATGCTGATGATGATGTTGGTGATGATGAACATGAGTGTGGACGGAGGGGGACATTCTTTGCAGCAGACGCAGCACGGCTTGCTCTGACGATTTAAAGGGGCTTTAAATCACACGATTGCGCAATCTGCGGACCTTGTCCGTTTCAAGACACACCGTGGAAGAGGGCGGGACAAAGGGCGGGCCACACAAGAGAGACATGGAGCCACAACGGTTGCGGAAGGCACGCTTCACAGCCCCCCTCCTGGCACTCACTACCCTGTACGCAGATCCATGAGTGTGGGCGGAGGGGGACACTCTTTGCAGCAGACGCAGCACGGCTTGCTCTGACGATTTAAAGGGGCTTTAAATCACACGATTGCGCAATATGCGGACCTTGTCCGTTTCAAGACACACCCTTACCCATATCATGTTCTGGGCGGGTGGGTGGGGCACCAACGACTCAGGAACTGGCCCATGTGAAAACAAAACTGGGGAGGGTAGGCAGACGCGACCTTGGACCACAGCTGTTTGTTGTCAGGGGTGCATCCTGAGATCTCAATGTGAGGCTGGCCAGAGAACGAACAGTGCCCACCCCTCCCCGCGCAACGGGCCCCAGCGAGCTCCTCCAGAGGCAGGTGGGAGAACAACAGGGTCGTGCGCTTTCTGTACGGTGTGCCGAAAGCACAGTAGTCTGTCTGGACAGAGTTATACTTATCTAGCAAACGTTTAAAACCCGGGAGCTCCCACAACATGCTTGAGGCGGGATTCTCGATCACGCAAGGCACGCCTAGACGCGAGAGGGCATCGAAAAGTTCGGCGGCCCACTTAGCTTGTATGTTGCCTTCCTGGACCTTCCGAAAATCATTGGGGGGAAGGGCGGGGAGGCCAAGTAGGTGCTCACGGTCCCGAATCGGTGCTGGCCAGCCTTTTTTGCCCGACCGGTTCCGCCTAGCGCGAGACCAGGACGTGCACACAAGGCCGATCCAGCACATAGCAAGAACATTATGGGAGGCAGCTTCGAGCAGGCGCCTCGAGACATCTCTATGCAAGCAATCCTCCAGCGGGGAATCGGCCAGCTCCCAGCTGCGTGTGAAGAAACCCACGCTCTTGCAGGCAGTGCTTATGCCGCGACTGCCTGCCGTCAGCTCAGCCGCGACCCAACCTGGCCGAGGGACAGACGGGGCGAGGACGAGGCCGCCACGCGGGCCCCAGTCACCCCAAGCCGAAAAAGAGCGGGCATGATTCACTTGGGGATGGTCTCCGCGGCGACGGTCCGCTCGAACAACGACCCCATCCCTCGAGGCAGGAGTCATGGCATTGAGGAGTTGGTGCACGGCGCCGGGCTCCCCGTACCTGTTCAGGGACGAGTCCGTCCTCCAGTGGCCCCGAGCCTTCACGGTCCTCCGATCCCGCCGGCCTGAGAGGATGTCGTCCGACGCACCCCCGTGTCGCAGCTGGTATAGAGGCAGACCCGGGGGAGGCCGCACTTCCTCGCTGCGACTCCGAACTGGGCCGCCACGAACGCGCCAGGGGTGGGGAAGATCAGGTCGGTCGGCGCCCTCCCCCGGACATGACCCGCCAGGCACTCGCCGAGCCAGACTGGGTGGTCTATGATCACGGTCTCGTCCGAGGTGCCCGTCTTGGCGAGTTCTCGGTGGGAGACCCTCGGATCGCCTGGCATGCTCGCATCCATCTGGGTCGGTGCGAGGATCACGCTCCAGCACTGCAACTGTCCCGAGGCCCTCGAGGGGGCCAGCAGCTGCTGTACTTGTAGCTTCCGAAGGGCTCCTGGGCGGATGTAAGTGAAGAAGATCGATGCCACCTGGAGTGCACAGTCCCTCTGCCCCCGCGCCAGCATCTCGGACACGACAGCGCCGAGGAGTTCCCGAGGCACGGGGGCACGAGATGCAGGGGGCCGGCGCTTGGCGTAGCCTCGAAGCCCACGGTTCACGCGCGGCGTCGTCTGAGAGCCCGTGCACCACGGGTAGGCGCCCTTGACCGCGGCGACCAGGATGGATGCGTCGGTCCGGGCACACTCCGCCTCCAGCATGAGGTCGAGGAACTGCAGCACCCGAACCTTCATGTCCTCGATGGTCGACGGCACCCCCCCCTCCTCGGCGAGGAACACCTGAAACGCATCGGAGTACGCCTTGTAGCCGACGCGCGTCGCGTCGGCCGCCGCGGCCAGCTCGCACCTAGAGAGCGCCGTGGCCGAGGCGGGGCTGCTCCGGTTGGGCTCCAGGGCCTTGGCCAGCCGAGCGTGCAGCTGGGGCGGCGGCGCCGGGGTGTGCGCCGCTGGCCGCGCCCGCGCCGCGCGGGGGACGGCGCTGGCGGCGGGCTTGCGGCAGGCCGCGGGCCTCTTGGCCGGGGCCGGCCTGGCCTCCAGGCCGCTCGGCCTGCGCGCCAGCCCCTCGCCGCAGCGGCGGTCGCCAGGCGGCGCCGCTTGGGCCTCGGCCCCAAGGTCGGCACGGGCAGGCGGCCCGAGCTGCTCAGCGGCTCCTCCGCGAAGGTGCCGCGCCCAGCCACGCTCAGCGGGCCCAGCATGCGCCAGAGAGAGGCCCTCGAACGTCCTGGAGGCTTCGTCGGCAGGCTGCCATTCCGACGGTGTCCACCCAAAGTGGGGCCCGATGTTGGTGGCCAGGGTTAGAGCCGCAAGGCGACGGTTGAGTTGTAACATACAGTATGACGGCGATCGGCCCCTATCGAAGCAGCAGCAGACGCCGAAATTGTCGAGCAGGAATAAGTGACGATGATGATGGTGCGAAGGGTCCTTTGCGAGACGACGTAGAGCCCATAGCATAGCCCTCCCCTCCTTCAGCCCGATGTGTTCGATGTAGCGTTACGGACCCTTGTAGACCACCCTCCACCCCTCTTTATGTAGCACATGACGAGGGACATCTGGGAACCCCACGACCTTG